TTTTAGATGTATAGATTGAAGTTCTCTGGTGACCTGTAATCGTTTTTCTTTGGCCCAAAGACTATTACCTCAGTTTTGTTTTTGTTTAGCTGGAGAAAATTGTGGCACAACCAGTCATTAATTTCCTCAATGCATTTACCAAGAGCCTGTACAGGGCCTCGGTCTCCTGGTGACATTGTGATATATATTGTGTCAGATAGGGGTCCCAAGATGGAACCTTGGGGAACTCCACATGTGATACTTGTCTGCTCAGATGTGAAGTTACCTATTGATACAAAGTATTTCCTGTTTTCTAAGTATGTTTTGAACCAGTTTAGTACAGTTCCTGAAAGACCTGTCCAGTTCTCCAGTCGTTTGAGTAATATGTTGTGGTCAACTGTATCAAATGCTGCACTGAGATCCAGTAAAACTAGACTGACATTTTTCCACTGTCTGTGTTCAGACATATGTCATTAAACACTTTGGTCAGAGCGGTTTCAGTGCTGTGGTTCTGTCTAAAACCTGACTGGAAGGCATCGTAGCAATTATTCTGTTTTAAGAAGTAACTGAGCTGTTGAGAAACTGCTTTTTCAATGATCTTACTTAAAAATGGGAGATTTGAGATCGGCCTGTAGTTGTTCATTTGTGTCTTGTCAAGATTGTCCTTTTTCAGTATAGGTTTGATTACAGCAGTTTTTAGTGGTTCTGGAAACACACCTGATAATAAAGAAAAGTTGACGATCTGTAACAGGTCTGACTCTAAAGTCTTTGAGACCTTTTTGAAAAAACTTGTTGGCAGGACATCTAAACAGCAGGAGGAGGAGTTCAGTTGACCTAAGATGTCCTCCAGGTCTTTGCTGTTAATAGGGTGAAACTGTTTCATGGTGTTTAAACAGTTTTTCGGTGGACACAGTACATATCCTGGATCTGCTGTTGATGTACCAATTGCTTGTCTAATCTTTTGGATTTTTTCTGTGAAGAATTTGGCAAAGTCATTGCAGGCCATGGTTGAATGAAGTTCAGCTGCCACTGACACAGGAGGGTTTGTTAGCCTGTCAACTGTAGAAAATAAGACCCGAGCATTATGGCTGTTTTTAGTGATGATGTCAGAGAAGTAGGACCTCTTGCACTCCTCAGTTGTAAATTATAATTGTGAAGTTTCTCTTTATAAGATGTCATATGAACCTGGAGGTTTGTTTTTCTCCATCTGCGCTCAGCTTTCCTACACTCTCTTTTTTCATTTTTCACCAGTGTGGAGTTTCTCCATGGAGACTTTTTCCTTCCAGAGATAACCTTCACCTTAATGGGAGCAATAGTGTCCATTACATTTAACATGTTAGCATTGAAGCTATTGACGAGCTCATTGACTGACCCTCTGGACAGGTCAGGTGTTAATGGGAAGACCTGGTTAAAGAATTGCACTACTGTGTTCAGTTATACACCGTTTTGTGATCACTGTTGTTGATATATTTGTGTGGGCTGAGATTTTACTTTCAAAGAAAACACAGTAATGATCAGAAGCCCACATCAGACACAGTAACCGTTTGAAATGCTCAGGCTCTTGGAGATCAGTAGGTCAAGAGTGTGTCCTCTATTATGTGTGGCCTCTGTTACATGCTGAGTCAGCCCAAAGTTGCCCAGAGTGTTACTCAGGTCTTTAGTCCCTTTGTCCTGAGGGTTGTCCACATGGATGTTAAAATCCCCAACAATAATTACACAGTCGAAATCAACACAGATCACAGACAGCAGTTCACTGAGGTCATTAAAAAAGTCTGTGCAGTATTTGGGAGGCCTGTAAACATTAAGAAACACAACTTTGGATGGGGCCTTCAGCTGTAAAGCCACATATTCAAAAGACTGAAAACTTCCAGGAGATAGCTGCTTACATTGAAATGATTCATTAAATAAGACAGCAACCCCTCCTCCTCCTCCAGCCATAATCCTCGCAGCCCAGACCCTCCACACATCAGACTGCGGAGACAGAGCATGAAGGTGGTAAGGAGGAACTAAGGGGGGCGAGGCTGGGCAATGTGACTTCGATTGCTCTGTTGAGGGTGGGGCTCGATGGCGAACCTTTGGCCGCTCTGGTGGGGGGTTTATGGGGGACAAAAAGGGATTGGGACGGGGGGTAGATCTGAGCCCAGCATTGACCCGCTCCATCATCTCCTCAGTGAATTTCAGGTGTGGGGAGGAGGGAGAAAGGGAGGGGGAGGGAGGGGTGATGGCCTGTCAGGGGTTTGGGGGACTGGGGAAGGTTGTGGTCCCTGGTCCTGGTCGTTGGTGTTGTTGAGAGAGTTGGAGGCAAATAGGGACCCCTCTTCTTGCCTCAGATGTCTCTCCTTTCTGAGGCTCTTCCCGGGTGGGGGCAGATGGAGCTCCTCCTCAAGGTTTCTGCTGGGCTTTGTCTGTTCTTGGAGTACTGTTTGTTCCTCTTTATGAGATAACTCCTCGTTTATCTCAGCCTTGGCACCAAGCACAGATGGATGACGTATGGAATAAAACAAGTTGGAGGTGAACAGTTTCACCCCTGACTTGTTAAAATTAAATCCATTTGCTTTAAACAGATGCCTGCGTTCCCAAAAAATATTAAAGTTATTGTAGAATATTGCATCTGGTGTCACTGCAATGCTGAATATAAGCTCATGCAAATGATTATTAAATATGTGACATATAGGAAGGGACACAAACTTGGCTGCAACTTTGAGCAGTTTACTGTCTATATTATCAGAGCCGGAGGATGTATCGTCAGGAAGTGATATTGATTTTTATGAGGGGGGGGTCGAGTGTTAGCTAATGCAGGTCACTTGTGTCTTGCAGGCTATTAAAAACTGGCCCAGATGAACTGCTCTTCCACTCCACCTGACATCAACCTTTTGATCATCTTTTTCTTGGTTAGGTTATGTTTACTTAAATATGAAATAATTAAACTTTTATTTAAACTCCTTGCTTGTCACCTACTTCCAGCCAATTTGTGGCATTACTCTTTGATGTACCAACAGCAGAAAGCTACGCTTTCCACACAGAGCTGGTGGAACCATCGCGGACACACCTGTCACACTGAATCTGTTTTTTTTCCTTTTGTTTGTTTTGGGTTTTTTGTTTTTGTTTTTGTTTTTTTTAAAGGGTCAGCCTTGAATTTCCAGGGATTTCTTGTAACCGCCTGACAACAGTTTTAAGTTTACCCAGCTGTCATCAGTGTCATGAGTTTTCTTTTTTGTTTTTGTCTTTTTGTTTTTTCTCTTTTTAGTGACAGAGGTTGGTCAGGTCATCTGTAGAAAAAAACAAATGCCCTGTGAAAATACTTATTACTGCAGCTAATGACTACAGTTAATTTAAACTGTTAAAAGGGAAATGTTAAGGCTGTAACAAAATCAAATGTTGGTGTTTTTGTTTTTGTAAATGATACAAAAGAGACATTGTCCCTTTTTAAGATGAACTGTAAAATATTTTCCATAGCCATCTGTTCAGAGATGACATTTTACTTCCAATTGTGTAGCTAACTGGGAATCAAAACTGCTAAAACCTCCAAAATTAAGAAGTCATAAGAAGCGTTTGAGTTAAAAATCAAGAATGGTGGACACTGTTTCTCCATGATTTGGACACGGGGAACCGACTGTGGCAGGGTCAGCCTTTTACAGCCGTGTGTGTGTGTGTGTGGGGGGGGGGGGCAGAAAGACTTAAAAAGGTAAAGATCAAGAGCAGTAACTAATCATAATCTTAAAGATGTGTAAATAATTATGGCAGTGTGGAATGAAATAAGAAACCTGATGTCAGTAAACAGTGTCTGCATTTATAGATGGGAACATGAATATGTTGAGTCTGCTGTGGATGCTCGAAGATGCAAATCTGAGACACAAAGATGGAGTCAAGCCCAAAATAATCCCTCCCTCTCTTGTAACCCACAAACTGAACAGTAATGTAACGACACTCACCTGTTCACTAAAGCAGTATGAGCATCAGTAACATACCAAAACAACAATGCCTACATCAACCAAAATTTCCAAGACGCCAACAAAGAGGGAACGTAGCTACAAAGCTCACAGCAAGTCACAGCAGTTAATGGTCTACAGAGCTACCAGACCCAACTACCAAGCTAAATTTTCATAACACTATTTAAGATAAACTTTGCAACTCCTGCTTTTCATATATTCAACAGTTACACACAAGACTCGCCCAGCCATGTGTCCAGTCAGGCCACAAACCCACAAGACTAATATACCAGTGAAACACCAGCCACGGAGTTTATGCTTCCCAGCCCTAGTTATTTAGTACAAGATGATTTTAACCCTAGTCTTCAGACAGATACCTGTGGTGGGTATGTAACAAGTGCCACCTGACAGTTTGATGCTCTCTGCCAGGTGATTGGCTGTTCACCTGTTTGTCCATCATTTGGACAGGGGGAACAGACTGTGGCAAGGTCAGCCTGATGAATCGGTTCACCTCCAAATAGGAGAAAGCTGTGAGCTGACCCTGTGCAAGACTGGGGCAGAAAGACTTAAAAAGGTAAAGATCAAGAGCAGTAACTAATCATAATCTTAAAGATGTGTAAATAATTCTGGCAGTGTGGAAAGAAATAAGAAACCTGATGTCAGTAAACAGCATTTATAGATGAGAACATGAATATGTTGAGTCTAGTGTGGATGCTTGAAGGTGTAAATGTGAAACACAAACATGGAGTTAAGCCCAAAATGAGTCCCCCTCCTCTCTTGTAAACCACAACCTGAACAGTAATGTAACAACACTCACCTGTTCACTAAAGTAAAACGTCACTACTTTCTGTCGAGAACAACTACCCGAGCACAGGTAACAGGGAGAGGGAGTAAACCTGTGGGGCCAGACGGAAACGCCTGATAGGACTGTAGTTTCCCGACAGTTCCCTCGGGCTCTTTTCTAATAATAACCAGTTTTTGTTTCCTCCAAGAGACCGCTCACTAGAAGCGATTGAATCAGAAAGGTTCAGGTTTGTTTATACTTGTAAGTCTGCAGTAGATGAATCATCTGTCCTTACAGCACATTTTCAGAGGAGACTGTTACAAGCCCAGGAGTTGATGTACTTTATTAGCTTCCTGTTCTGGTCAAATTGGACTTCATTGTTTATTTAGAGTACAGCAGAGCTGCAGAGAGCAAGTCAGGAGGATGTTACCTGTCAATAACCCAGCAGCAGCCCGTGTTTAGTTTTAATATTGTTACAAAGGAATGTAAATCAGCGATTTATTGGATTGTAAACTCTGTTTTATTGTTAGATTTACCTTTAGGTGAGAGGAAGAAAGTTATAAACTTTTCTAAAGCTTCTAAAGTAGCTTCTGCTTTGCCCAATTAATTGAATCATTAACTGTAATGAAAAGTAACAGCTAACAGGATTAATATCACTGTAAACATGGCTTGAATAGGATGGCTGCTGATTGTACCTGCTGATTGTGTGTCTGTGTGATTGCTTTCTGCCTGTAATACTTTAACAGCTTAAAGTAAATTCCACTGGCTTTATACAGTTAAGAGTCTGAAACACTGTGTGCAGCTGCTCCTCTCTTCTGCCTCAGATTCGATAACTAAAGGGTCCACCCCAAAACTGGTGTCTTATATTAAAAACTGTGGTTTGACAACAAAGTCATCCAGTTAAATTGCTTCCAACATGCTGCTACAGGTAACGCTGTAGTGTGAACTCAGCTGAACTGAGGTATGAAAAAGTGAAAATTAAAGTGTTTGCAGCAGCATAACCTGTTAACTGCAAGGTGCTGCATGCGTGACATGGCTGGGGGCTGAAAGTCTGACTCTAGAAAACTTTGTATACTAGGGTCACATCAGAGGCAGCTAATACGGAGCCTAAAAAATACAATTTAAAATGTATTATTTGTTATGATGTCTGTTATGAGCAGACAACACCGGTTCACCCTTGAGTATGGAGTCTTTTTATGCTTGAATAATTCAAAGAGTTTACAAAACAAAAAACTTCTCTGAACATGGTCAGGTACAAGGATTGGACTGAAAATGAGTGAAAAAGCAACTAATGACCAAGACTTGACTCAAGACTTTTGCACAGCAATGTATGAGAAGGTGCGAGCATTTGTCACTGCTCATCGCAGTGACTGAGGATGGTGCTGGGTCTGATGAGCAGTGCGACGAGGTGGTGGCCTATGACACCATTAACAACCACCTATAACACAGTCATGAGATCGCACTCACACCTTGATCCACGTGACCTTGAACAAGAGGCGAAACAGCTTCATGAACTAGAAAGAGCTTCATTTCATTTCCATGATGGAGGACGGAAAACCTCCACAGAAAACTCAGGTCGTCTCATTTAGTGAATGTGTTGAATCAGGTCTAGAGAATTCACACAGACAGAAACACACAGGCAGCAGCTTTCTAAAGAACTATATTTACATAATACTCTTGTTTTACAGAGAACCATATCAAAAGTATAAAATACTTACAAAACATCCGCTGCAATATATAAAAATAACATCTATCTTCTCCAGATCATTAGGAAAGGCATACATACAAAAAATATATTTATAGACATTTACACAGAGCCTGTTTACAACATTTAACCCAGAAAACCCACGGAGACCGAGCGAGGCTGGAAGTCGAAGGCGGGCCCAGGGATTGGCAGCGATTTGAATGGAAACACGAAACCATCCCCGAGCGACCGATCGGCGACAAAAACAGGAACAGCGCTGCCGCGAGGACACGCAAACATGGACAACAGTACAGTAGATAGGACGACCGGGTCACCGCTCCACTTTCAACGTGGCGACCCGGCCGGAGTTCCACCTTGCAGAGAACCGTCAGAATGGTTCATTCTGATTAACGCCAGCGGTGACAACTGTGTGGACACAACGGAAGATTCATCAAACGCAGATGACGCAGTTTGAAGTCTCTGAATGACAGGAACGCCAACGCCGCGTCCCCAGCACGGAGTCTGAGCAACCTGACCGAGCCCAACGACTGCAGGGATGTTTAGTTCACATTAAATTTCTATCTTAAAACAAAGCGTCAAACTGTCACATGGAAATGTTTCGATTTTATTTTTAGTTACTTTATATTTCTATGTTAAATCACATCCAGGTGAGAACAGTGGGATCTAAATCCCGAGGCCAAATTTTCTTGTACATATGAAGCAGGTGTAAGACGAGGGTGAAAACTATTTTTACTTGAATTCTGCCTTAAATAAAAGGACTGAAATTCTTCAGACTGGCAGGGCATTTTACTCTATCAGCCTTCAGACCACTGTCTGTCAGACCACACACAGGGCAAAATGTCCTCATTAAAGGGCACAAGTTTCCTGTGTTTTCCATGTTTTTCCGCTCAGAAACGCAGCTTTAGAGGAGGTGATGGATGATTTCTCTGCAGGTTCTCGCCAGGCTGAATCACAGAATAACATTATGAGTGACTTAAACGCATCGCGGTTCAGTGCGCCTGTTTGTTTGGACTCTGCGCATTCACCTGGAGGTTCAAGTACTGGACTCCGCGACAGAAACTTTCCGATTCCTGCTGCTCATTTCCCGGCGGCTTGTTATGTTTTTAAAGGACCATTTCTCTGTTTTTTCCCCTCGATTTATGAAATCTGCTGGAATATCTGTGAGCCTCCAATAACCAGCTGGCCTCAAATTTAACACATGACATTTCATAGGGGGAAAAAAGGCTCGATATACCAGCATCTCATTTACCTAAACAAAGAATGCGCTATTGTTAAGTTATTTAAATGTTTATGGAGAAAAATCATTTCCCTACAGTATGAAAATCACCCAGCTCAAGCTGTAAAACCAGAAACAAACACATGTTGATTCAGTCCTAAAAATAAAAAAAACAAAACAGACAACCAGCTGAACCCCCCCCCCCTAAAAAAAAAAACCAAACAAAAAACCAAACAAACAAACAAAAAAACAGAGGGATGGTCCTTTAATGTGACTTAATGCTAACGTGGCGGTCGAAGGCAAGGACTGCGGGTTCAGTAGTAATCTTACTGCTGTTTTTGTGCGTGCACACAGTTTGTTTGTGTTGACTCGTGTGGAGGTGTTTAGATTTACACTCCTGGTGGAAGAGAACAGAAAGTCTCAGAAACCAGTTTAATCAGTTCAGGCTACTTCACAACAATCAGGAAACCTTCAGGCAAAGGATCAAACACTTTCAGTCTTTATACGGGGAAAAATTAAACCGAGCTTCAACGCTCTGATTTAATTTCCTTTAAAGACAGCTGATCCAGTATCAGGTGGTGGGTTTTTCAGGCTTTGACCTGAATCTCGGCTGGCTGCTCTCGAAGCGCCAGTTAGTTCTTGTCCCGTTCATTAGCAGATATGCTCTGATGTTTATCACGTAATGTCCTCCAAATGTGCAATAAAAGGTCGAACACCACACAGCAGCCAATGTTTGGCCCACACCTGACTCTGAAAATCAGCATCTGTCTGTTGTGCCAAAGTTAGCCCAGATTAGGCCCAAACACGCCTGCTGTGTGCTCATTTCATTCCATAAATTTAGAAAGTTTGAGGACAGAAGCTGATTAGTGCCATCCTGCAGGGACGACAGCAGCTTAAAAGAAGGTGGCAATCGTTTGAGAACCAATTCTTAATATTCATGTAAAAGTCCACATTTTTTTTTTTACTCCATAAAAACCCCAATCTGCATTTTAAAACTGGTTTTATTTGTATAGTGCATCCAAGTCCAGAATGGAAGCTGATGTCAGGACTGCAACAGTAATTTTTTTTAAATGTTTTTTTTTGAGGACTTTTCTACCAGGAGTGTTTTTAAACACCGAGCGCTTCGTTAATCTGCTTATCTGAACGGAGCCTTCGAGGACCGCGTGGAGATGTTTAACGACAATTTTCACTCAAAACGACAATACGATCAGTTTCATAGTGGACTATCCCATCACTCTTATTTTGAAAGGTCAGTCACTGCCCCAGCCGTTCCTGTCGTGTTTCCCACAGACTCGCTCAGCTGCTTTCCAGAGACTCCATCAACTCATCTCATATGGATGCCTGCGGATCACCGCTGATGTGGGCAGATGTTCTGAAGCTGCGGTGAGCTGGGAGGTCATTCCACCTTGAACCTGAAGCAGGTTTAGCGAGGTCACCGCGGCTTCAGAGCAAGAGGACAGCCAGCTGCAGTCCGAACAGTGGGATGAGGAACTTCCTGGAAAGGCAGCTGGTTTTCTTACTCTATTATTTAAATATTTATTGATCTAATGAAGAAAGTGTGGTGTTCCCACCCGTGAATTCAGTCTGATCTGTGGGAAACCCCGGAGGAGCTCAGCTGCACGGATCAGCTGACTCAGCTGAATTGCAGAGCCTCCGAGCAGGAATGTGGCCGCTTACAGGAGCTCTGAACACTTTGTGTTTCTTCATCGTGCTGCAATGATTCAACGGCCAGTCTGTGTGTGTGCGGTGCTGACAGGCTTCTCTCTGACAGCATGAGAACGTGACGCGGTCGCCAGCCTTCTGCGACTAACGCTAACACGTGGTGGCAGCAGGAAGTGGTCGGCGGCTCACTCTGCAGGCTTCATGTGCGTGCGTGCGTGAGACTAGTGGTGGTTGGCGAGCAGTTCGTCCAGGTCGGCCATCCACTCCTGCGTATTCTGTCCTTTCAGCAGCGAGTCCACCAGGTCGCTCTCCGCGGGAAAACTCCCCGACGCCACGTTGTATCCGAATGACACCTGATGCTGCTGCTGACTCACTGTTTGGCTCACCTGGTATCCTTGGTTACACTGTAGTCCCTGGCGACCGTTGCCTTGCGGCTGTCCGAACGCTGCCAGGTTGGGGAGTACGGCCTGGTTCTGGGGGCCCTGCTGCTGATTGGTCATTGGCTGGCCCTGTCTTTGGGGGTTGGGCAGTGCCCTCTGCTGGGGCGCTGCCATGTTTGTCTGCATCATTTGTTGTCCGGGATTCAGACCACCCATCGGACGTCCACCTGGGTTGCCGCCAAAGGGGGCGGAGCCGGATGGCATCTTGGGAATGCAAGGCTGCTGCTGCGGCGGCATGTGGAAGGCATTGGGGGGGCCGCTGAAGGACAGGCCTGCATTACTGGAAGGCGGCTGGTTGACGAGCTGCTGCTGCCAGGCGGTGCTCTGACCGCCCGGCATGCCGCCCCCCATGTTGCCCTGCATGGAGGCTGGGAGACGGGCAGCTCCGGCCACATGAGGCTGCTTCAACATAGCTGCATTGGGCGGCGTCTTCAGGTGCTGCTGCTGAGGCAGGAGGTTGTGCCTGTACGGAGCGCTCATGGTGGTGTTCAGAGACGTCTGGCGCTGCAGACTGGGTTGCTGGGCCAGGTGGTTGGGGTGCATGCTCATGGTGTTGTAGAGGACATCCACGCCGGCTCCACCCCCCTGACTAATGTCAGCCTGACTCACTGTCGGGGGCGGGGCTACGCCACCTGCTGGACCACCACCCTGACCCATGTTCATGCTCATCATGCCCTGGTTCTGAGGGAACATACGGGACCCGGGGGCGGGGCCTCCCATGGAGCTGACACTGCCCATTGGCTGAGAGGAAGCTAAACAAAACCAGAAGAACAGAAGAAAACAACAATCAGGAAAACGTGCATCAAAATCTTTTTTTCCAGAGTGGGCCACATAAGTGGGTCGCCCCAGTGAAGCTCCTTAGTCGCACATTTAATCCCTGAGATCTCGTAATAGAAAACATAAAAAGGATTTTGTTTGTCCCCGTAACTCTAACCCTGCTGGAGCTGAACCGCTGATCTGTTCAGCTACTTTCATTTCCCATTCAAATGAGCGGCATTTACACAGTCAGCCTGAACCCACAGAAACCAAACTCACTCTGGTTTCACTTGTCCAGGTATAAAACACAGCCGCTCGGAAACTTTTAGAACAAACACATTTTTAAAGATATTCACCATAAATCTGTGGTCTCATGTTAAATATGAATGAAGGTGAAACCTGTAAGAACGCAGGCTGTGTTTTTATTTCCATGAGGAAACTCGTCACTTTGGAGACCAGACGGTCACGAAATCCTGAACTTTGATAAAAACTCTGCTGGTTTTACAAGGTCCTGATTCTGGCTTCTCTGTTGGCTCCCTGAATGTTTTAGATGTCATTTTAATATTTAATCTTTTGTGTGCTACGACTTTCTGCAGTAACAGATCATACCATTTTTAACAGGCTTTATCCTAAGGCCGGAAAACAGAACAAACCTCTGAGCTGTGCGTCTCCATAAACTCTATCATATTGGAAGCTTCAGCCGCCCGAGCTGCAATCTTACAGTCTTTACCTGGTTAAGGTTTATGTTTGATGCCGAATTTGTTTGTTCTGTGATTTTTTTTAACTGGAATTTTCCCATTGGTCAATGATCAACTCTGCATTTTGAACCTTGAAATTATTCTTGAAAAAAAAAAGAAGCATGTTTTCAAAACATTTCATGGTCCGATCTTTCAAAGCACACGCACAACTTATACCCAAGTGTCGGCACTTTGATCCTCCTTCCTCCCGCGGATGAGGAAGGATACCAAACCAAAAAGTCCCATACCAATCCCATACCAATCCCATACCAAAAAGATGCAGAATACACATTCAAATAACTCCTACTTCCTGTTATGATTACTTAAGTGCTTTTTTGGTACTTAATAATTCTGCATTGGAAGGTGTCTGCTTCTTCTTATATTTTGTGGCCTTTGATTTTGTGATTCTGAACTGAATCACAAAGCATTCATTATGAAATAAATAAAGCAAAGTAATAAAAAAAAAAAGTCCCAGGAAAGGCTGTGATCCTGCTCAGGAGCGTTTCATCTTTTTCCACCTTTTTCTTTCAAAAAAATAACCACTTTTTTGTCTTCTGTGTATTCTCCCTGAACAACCAAATGGGGCAGTAATGACCTCATTCCACATGTGAAGAAGCAGTGGGCAGTTTTTTAGAGTTACAGCTCTGTCACAGAGGTATTCATGCCTGAGAGACCTGAGAAATGCATTGTGTGAACACTTCCTGTAGGCGTACCTGTAAACTGGTTGGCCGGCTGCTGTGGGTAAGGGTTCTGATTGGCCGTTGTTCCCGACTGGTCCTGGTACTGTGGAGGAGGTCGGGTCAGGTGTCGCTGCCGCTGCTTCTCCTGCACAGACACATGGAGAGGGTTACTGTGTGGGCTTCAGATTTAGGACAGATGCGAGGTGTAACTCATTATCACGTGGCCACTGAAGGTGAGCAGTGCAATGACAATAACGGAATAAATTGACCCTCTCAGCGTTCAAGCAGGTTGGAAATGTTGGAATCACCTGCAGATGAGTCTTACCTGTTCGGCTAAAATCTGCTGCTGCCTCTGAATGTACTGCTGCTGTTTCTGCTGCTCCAGGATCTGCTGCTGATGATGTTGTTGCTGTTGTTTCCTCGCTGCTGCCTCTTTACTGGTCATGTACGCGTTACCGTGGTTACCCGGCATGGCGTTGTTTCCAGGCTTGGCCGTCATGGCGTTTGTGGGCCCCGGGCCGTGTGGAGGAGCGGGGTAGCCGTTCTGATCCTGCAGATGAAGTTTTGTGTTTTGTTACTGAAGAAGAAGCGACACTTTTTTTTCTGCTCTAAAAAAGCTTCATGTGACTTTGGTAACAGCGTCAGGCAGTTCTTCATGACTCCAGCGCAGAGCTGCTGTCAAGCAAAAAGTTTAACCAGAACATCTCATAGGTTACCTGCTGCAGCGTTCTCGTTTAATAACTTCAACCACTTGTTGAGCGATCCTTCCATTCAGAAACTTACCGGTCTTGTCTGTATGAAAACAGACAACTGTTTTTCTTTGTAAAGCTCCTGATTTCAGATCTTTAAAGTGGTGAAGTTATACGGATATTTTTCAGTTGATTAATATTGTGTGTTCATTCGTCTGATTCTATGCTGGGATCATTTAGGTGTGTCCTAAAGTCCTCTTGAAAACAATCTTTATATCTGAAATTATGGAACTTGTCTTAAATGATGTTCTTTCCTGACCAGCTGTCCTTGAACAGCACATTTTACTTTCAAGAATGAAATAAAAGCAAAATAAATTAAAATAAACTTCATCTTGGTTAAAACAACATTTACAGATTAAGTGGGACAGCTTTCAAATGTGATGATCAGAGGGTAGTGGTTCTGAAATCCTCACTAACTATAAATGTAATTTTAGTTTTTGACAACACTACTAATTGTTCATTTTTCACTGCACAGAATTTACCTGAAGGCCTGCTAGTGCCCCCTTTGAGGCTGAGGAGGGAACTACAGGCTCATGATGGCTGAGAATGCACGGTGCACCCTGAGGGGGGAGCTACAGGAAAGGTTATTCCATTCAGGAAGACGTATCATTGAAATTAGCTGGGAATGTTCATCTTTGAACAAAATGCAGACAGACAGCATCGCAGGAACAGTGTGTCCTGTCTGCTGAGAGGAAAAGTACAGGCAGGAGCGGCTAAATTTAAATACACAGACAAGGACAAAGGGGGGGAGGGTGGGGGTATAAAGTATGAAAGGCTGCTTTGTCATGGC